AAAATCATATAAAACATCTGTTTGACAGCAGTGGAGAGAAACCAAGGCATGAAGAAGGATGAGATTTTAAAAAGAAAGCAAGCATGGTGGTGGTAGGGGGTGAGGGGGTACAGGGCTGCTTTTCCCCTCAAGGCATTCCTTCATTTGTAAACTTGTCCAGAAGCTGAGCAAAACTTCCTGCAATCTTATGGGGCTGGGAGGATTACAAAGCACAGTTCTGAGCCCATAGTAGAGAATGGTCCTGGTAAAAACATCATAGATGTTCTGATGGAATACACAAAGGTCTGTGCCCTAAAAAACAAACTGGAAATAGACCACATGATTTCCAATCAGCCCAGTCCCTGTTCGTATTATGGTGATCTGCCTAGATGTTCACTACATACCAGGAACAAAGAATAATCCTCCAGAGGGAAAGAAACACAATTTAAAGCCTCACACTATCTCTTCAGTTTAAAATACCAATGTCTAGCATTAAGTTAAAAGATATCAGAAACACCAGGAGGTAAGACCAATAGCTGAAAACCAAGAGGAGAAAAATGACAGACCAGGAACACAGGCCCACAGGTGATCCAAATAACAGAATTACTGAACCAGGTCTTTCAATAACTTGTGATAACTAAGTTTAAGAAATTAGGTGGCAAGATAGAAAATTTCAGCAGAGAAAGGGAAGTGTACAAACACTATCAAATGGCTATTCTCAAACTGAAAAATAGAACATTTCAAATTAAAAACTCGGAAGAGGTTGAAAGGCAGAAAAGACACAGCTCAAGAGAGGAACAGTGGGCTGCAGATTGATCAAACGAGAATATGCAGAATAAAGCATGGAGAAGAAAAAAATCACAGCAACTACAGGAAAGATTAAGAGACACATAAAACAGTGGAAACGCCCAACATATATGGTAACTGGAATCTACAGAGAAGAGGAGAAAAAAAATGGGGCGGAAACACTATTTGAAAATACAGTGCTTGAGAATTTTCTAAAACTGACCTAAGACAACAAATCCCATTTTCAAGCAGTGCTAAAACCTACAGCAGACTAAATACCCAGTAAAACTTCTCTAGGCACACTGCTTGAAAAAAGACTGAAAAATTCAAAAAGCTAGCAGAGGGTAAAAATAAAACCACATTGAGACTCTTGACTCCGGGAAACAAACTGAGGGTTGCAGAAAAGGAGGTGGGTGGGGGGATGGGGTAACTTGGTGATGGGCAATAAGGAGGGCACGTGATGTGATGAGCACTGGGTGTTATATGCAACTAATGAATCACTGAACATTATATCAAAAACTAATGATGTACTATATGTTGGCTAATTGATTTTAAATAAAAAAATTTAAAAAATTAAAAAAAACTGAAAAAAACCCCACCCCATATTACCTTCTCAAAAGGAGACTGACAGCTGACTTCACAACAGAAATAAAGGAAGCCAGAAGACAATGGAATAACACCTTCAAAGTTCTGGCAGAAAAGAACCGTCAGCTTAAAATTTTATAAATGACATTATCTACCAAAGATAACGGCTAACCAAAGGCAGTTTTAGACAAACAAAAATGGACAGAATTTGTTACTGGTAAAGTCACACCAAAAGAAAGGAAGGGAGTTCTGCAGGCAGAAAGGAAATAATCCCCAGTGGCAGCACATGGAGAGGGAGGAAGGAATAAAGAACAATGGCAAGGGCAAACGTGGAGGTGAATCTAAATGGATACTGGCTGACTGTATGAAACAATATGGAGACTGTATGGAGAGGATTAAAGTATCTGTATAATTATAACACACAACAATGATGACAAAGAATGAGCTGGAAGAAAGGTAAAGGGAGTTCAAGGGTCCCAAGATTCTTGCCCCGTCCAGGAAGTGGTGAACCCACTAACTTATATGAGACTTTTAAAAATCCCAGAAAAGTCAGTGACTATATAACTAACAAGCTAATCAAGGAGAAAGGAACAGAACTTAACAGATACATATGAATCTGAAAAAGGAGACAGAGAGAGAAAGGAAGCCAGAACAGGTAAGTCATTCAGAAAACAAAGAGTAAAAGGAGAGATTCAAACCCCAATATCTCAGTAATTACATTACAGGTAAATGGCACAAATACTCCAATTGAAAAAAGAGATTGATGGGGCGCCTGGGTGGCTCAGCTGGTTAAGCATCTGCCTTCGGCTCAGGTCATGATTCCCGGATCCTAGGATCGAGCCCCATGCTGGGCTCCCTGAGCAGTGGGGCGTGTGCATCTCCCTCTGCCCCTCCCCCCACTTGTGCTCTCACTCTCTCTCAAATAAATAAAATCTTTTAAAAATTAAAAAAAAAGACATTGCATCAACAACCCTTCGCAAAACAACTACATGATGCTCACGAGATACAAGTTAAATAAAAGCATACAGAAAAGTTGAAAATGGGATAAGATATATCAAGCACATTACAATGAAAACAAATGCACAAAATTATATGCACAAAACTATAAAACAGTATTAAAAGGAAAATCTAAGTAAGTGGAGGGACATGCCCTATTTGCAGATTAGAAGCCTCAAGAATGTGAAAATGTCACTTATCCCCAGATTGATTCAGTATAACTCCAATTTAGAAAAGAAAAAATGAACAGGTTTTTTTGGAGTAGAAACTGACAGGCTGATTGTAGAATTTATGTGGAAATGCAAAGGACTAAGAATAGTCAGCACTACTTGAGAAGTAATGAAGTCAGAGGACTTATATAAGTAGATATTAATACTTAGTATAAAACTCAGTAATTAGTAAAGTGTGCTACTAAGGTAGGGACAGGCAATCAAGTCACTGCAAAAGAAGCAGATCAGAAGCTGATTTGCATATAGCTTTCACTTAAGGACTAAGTGGCACAAAAGACCACTGGGGAAATGATGATTGCTTCAGTGAGTGGCGCTGGGTCAAATAAATATCCTAGAGAAAAAAACAGTAAGGACCCTCTTTGCTCATATACAAAACTCAATTGAAGATGGATCACAGTTCTAAATATAGAAAGGTAAAACAAATCTTCTAGACCATAATAGAAGAGAATATCTTAATGATTTTGGAGAGGCAAAATTTTTAAAAAGGACACAGAAAGTAACTGTAAAGGAAAAAAAGCACTGTAAATTGAACTATATTAAAATTCTAAAAAATCTGTTCATCAAGAAACAGCTTTGAGAGTGAAAGGTAAGCCCCAAGATAAAGGAAATACATATAAGTGAAAAAGAATTCCTACAACTAAGACAAAGATAACTCAAGGTTTTTGTTTTTTGTTTTTTAAGAAAGAGCAAAAGGCATGAGCAGGCACTTCACAGGATGTCCAAATGGCCAATATATGGAAAAACCCTCAGCTGCACTGCTCATCAGGGAAATACAAATTAGAACCATAATATGATACAACTACACGCTCAGCAGAATGGCTAATGACGTTGGCTGACAACACAACGTGGAGACAAGAACGTGAACTGGAGTGTTCACACGCTGCTGGAAGGACAGAGCTGGGTATCAGCACAGCCTGGGACGCAGCAACTCCATTTCTAGGTGTCTATTTAGAAAATGCTTATTTCTGTTCACTAAGTAGCCTGTACGAGAACTCTTCATACTTTCACCTATCAATGGTATACAGAGTCACCAACAGGTATATTCACATAATGAAACATTACAGGGAGCAGCAGAAAGGAACGAACTGCTTCCGAAATCACGTGCATCTCACGCCATAATGCCAGAAAAAGCAGCGAAAACACATGGACACACCTTGCACGATTCCATTCATAGTTAAAAATAGACAAATCAACTTGTGTGTTACAAGGTTACAAGTCACGGGTGTTTACCTCTGGGGACAGGAGGAAATACAATGACTGGCAGGAAGCACAAGGCACATTGTGGGTGCGGAAAATGTTCCACCGCTTGATCTTGGTGGTGGTTTTTTGGGTGCAATTTTTAATAACTCTTGAAGGCACACATTTAGGACTTGAGAGCTCTCTTCCGGATTTTTATTACACTTCAGTAACAACATATACATTTTTCTAAAGAAGTCAAGCAGGACTGCCGTGTAACAAAAGCAACAATCTATAACCACCCCTCCCCATCCCATTCCCTTCCTGGAGCCACTCAACTCTTCCAGCTTTCTTCAGACACATTTCCTACTTCTGAGTAATGGCCTTACAATGAAACTTCTCCATGTTTCCATTTTAGGTAGCTAGAGTCTTCCTATTATGCCTACTTCCTATTAGGAAGACATTTCCTTATATAGCCTGGTGTTTTTCCTAGAGTTGATAACCACACAATCTGTTTCTATATAGCCCTGTTTAAAGGTGTTTCCTGCCCTTACGGGTACCTTGTGTCTCCAATACTCAAACCCACTCAGGGTTTTGCAGCACAAGTCAGCTTGTCTCTTGCTGGCTGCCCTGTCCCTGGAGAACTTCAGTTTTTGTTCACTGTCTCTATCAGCTACCAGTCATCTGTCTCCTTCTATCTTCGCAAATTTCACTGGCATCTTATTTGTTGCCATCTTTTTCTCCTTGACCTTTTTATTTTTATTCCTTTAATTTAGTGAGATTCCAAGAGTCACACAGAGATAGTCCTAAAAGTCTATTATTATTGTTTCTTATAGTCTAGAAGGGGTGATCCACAAATAATTTGGGGCCTTCATATTCTATTCGTCTTTGTATGCTTAGTATCAAGCCCAGTAACAAGCACAGGGAAAGAGCCTGAAAAATCTGTAAACCACTGTTGAAAAAGTTAGGTTCATAGTCAAATCAATGAACCCCAGCTGAGGCATGAGCAGGCACTTCACAAGATGTCCAAAAGGCCAATATATGGAAAAACCCTCAGCTGCATTGCTCATCAGGGAAATACAAATTAGAACCATAATATGATACTACTACACGCTCAGCAGAATGGCTAATGACGTTGGCTGACAACAGAATGTGGAGATAGGAATAACCCCCAACCCCCCTCCCCCCCCCCCGCCCCGCAGTGGTCTGCACCTGGCCACAGGGCATCACGAAGGGTGTGAGTCTCACCTGTGTAGTGCTCATTGCCTTGAGCAGCACAGGTTAGGAGCTGTGCCATGGATGAGCCCACTGCCTTGGATGTACTTCCTAGGTCTTGAGCGCATTTTTCCAGCTGTAAGAATATCCAAGGGGGAAGACAGCTTAGAAGAAAAGCAACATACACTATAGTCTTAGCATACAAACAATGCACATCAAATCGTGGTCCTTAGGTCTTTCCCATCTAATACCAGTGGTGCAAAAAGTAGGGTGATAGAAGGGAAAGAGCCCATGCTTCAGAATGAAAATATCTGGGTTCAGGCGCCTGTCCTCTGCTTCCTTACCCCCACATGCTAGCTGTCAGAGACTGGGCAGGTTACTGAACCTCTCCATGCCTTGGTTTCCTGGAGAGATCCTAATACTTAAGCTTACAAAGTTCTCAGAATCAATGTAGGTACTCAACAAATGGTAGCTATTAGCATCATGCCTTTCGAAGCTAATTTAGAAAGTTTGCAACAAATCCTTAGCGAGAATGAATTATTCCTTGGCAGGAAGTGGGCAGACATCCAGCGGTCCTGCCTTCCTGGCATGTGGGGCCATTAACATTGTTCGTTTCGATCTTTATACTTTGAGGAGTTCTAACCAGAAGGAAATGCAATAGGAGAGGTTTGCCATGGTAAATGAGATTATGAAAATGGGCAAAGTGCTTGCTTCCCATGAACAGCACGTCATCTTGCTTTGTAAACTGAATAAATAATTTAGAGAACAAAGTTACTGATGGCTCAGAGTATGGATAATTATTTGACTACTAGATGAGGACAACATTTTGGAACAGAACCGCCAGGCATACCGTGAGAGCACAGACAGGCATCAAAGAATGTGTGCATTTCTTAACTCTAAAACACTGCTTCCCAAGATAGGCAGTGCCTTCAAACATAAAAGAACCCGCAGCCAACAGTATGTTCTAGCCAACAATATGTTCTAACACAGCACACACATTCTTCCGGGGCAAACAATTTCCTTAAAAATTACATGGGGTTTCTTACATTCTAACCGACCAGCAGGTTTCTGTAAAGGCAGAATTCATGTCATGTCAGCCTCTCTTGGGCTCCCTGGAGTGCAGGAGTTTGCAAAGGGACACATGGACTACATTACAAAGCTGCTGGCCCTGCAGCCAGTCCTGACTTGATCATTAGCTGGGTGACCTTAGTTAGGTGACGTAACTTTTCTGAGCCTGAGTTTCCTTGTCTTTACAATTAGCAGTAGCATGATTTAACAAGTATTTTCTCAGGGCTTCCTATCTACCATTGCTCCATGGTAAATTAGCTGCTCTGGAAGTCCCTGTATATTCCACAAGTTTGCAGGTCATCCAAAGAGCAGCAGTAGTTAAGAGTAGAAGCTCTTAAGGTGAGAGATCAAGAGCATGGGTTTTGGAGTCCTGTAGGTCTGGATTCAAACTCTGCTTCCACTATCAGCTAGTAGACACTGGACAGAATAGTGACAACCTACCTCTGCACCTCTGTTTCCTCAGCTGTAAAATGGGATTCACAAAACTCGCTCATCAAGGTTACCATCAGGATAAACTAGATTGATTTTATGCATACACGGTGCTTACGAGATACTTACCAAATAGTAGTATTAGCAACGTTTAAGAATGTGGAAAAGGAGCTACACACAAATGAGAAGAACTGGTAGAATTTTAGCCAAGAAAACCCTGACATAGGGGCTCCTGGGTGGCTCAGTCGCTAGGCGTCTGCCTTTGGCTCAGGTCATGATGCCAGGGTCCTGGGATCGAGCCCCGCATCGGGCTCCCTGCTTGGCGGGAAGCCTGCTTCTCCCTCTCCCACTCCCCCTACTGTGTTCCCTCTCTCGCTGTGTCTCTCTCTGTCAAATAAATAAGATATTAAAAAAAAAAAAAAAAAGAAAACCCTGACATAGGCATCAGGAGGCACCATAACACGATCAAATTAGAGCTCTGTTACCACCATTCCCCCAGCTCTTGTGTTTGTACTGGATTAAAGTGCTTTGCTGTCGTCCATCCTAGTTGTCTTGCACTAAATCAATATTTTTTCAAACCATGTCTGTTGAAAATATTTTGTGTGTCCACCTTTATAACCTCATTGCTATTCCTTTCACAGATAAAATATCTGAGACACAGAAGAGATGCAAGACTGTCTACAGCTAGCTGAGGATACAAGCTGGAGCTAGAAGCTAGAATTCCTACTTTTAAACCTAGCTCCTCCAGCTGCACTGGACGTTTTCAGAAAAAGGCTGTGGGATCAGAACACTGGCCTCAAACACTAGGATGTGTCTTGTTTATGAAAAAGAGTGACAGACAATTGTTCATCCCTAGCGAAGCCCCAGGAAAGCAAGACACAGGACCATGACCAGAGGCCCCTTCAGGGCCATCTTTATCTCAACGCAGTTCTTAAAAATGGGGCTATTCTAGGGCTTTGCCTTCAAAATATGTGTGATTCAGGCACACCAACTCCAGCTTCTAAAAATGCCTCACGTGATCATTACACGAGGTGGAGTCCCACCCTGCAGCATGCTCTGACATCCCTTACCGTCTCCCCCGGAAGTGGTTTCAGCTGACTCTCCACAGCTGCCATCTTGGCGTCCTGCAGTTCATTCTTGAGTGTCTGCACGGTGCTCAGAGCTGAATCGATTTCCATAGGGCCACAGGCTTCATGGGCCTGGCAACAGAGTTGGGAATACGTGTACAGTCTGTCCGGGAAAAGTGTCCCCAGTACTTTGCAATGTACAAAATGCCTTTCTGCATGTACCCAATGATTCTCCAACCCTGGCAACAGGAAGCCAGTGGAGTATGCATTTCCTGATAGAGCAAAATCAACCTTGGTCAGTCTTAACTTCCCTAAATAATCAATTATGCATGTCTCATAAGTAGATATACTTAAAATCTCCTTGAAGCTATTTTTATCAGAAATGCATTTGTCGCTCAGACTAAGAGGATCCTTCTTTGCTGTGTCTGGGTTCTAGAGAGAGAGAACCTAGTACAGTTGTGTGCACACAGAGGCTTGAGAAGCACGTTGTGGGTGGCTGAAGAAGGAATGAACGAATGAACCTAGGACTATGGGCATAAGTCTTTTGTTTTTGTTTTTTAATTTTTTATTGTTATGTTAATCACCATACATTACATCATTAGTTTTTGATGTAGTGTTCCATGATTCATTGTTTGTGCATAACACCCAGTGCTCCACGCAGAACGTGCCCTCTTTAATACCCATCACCAGGCTAACCCATCCCCCTACCCCCCTCCCCCCTAGAACCCTCAGTTTGTTTTTCAGAGTCCATGGTTCGTCTCTCATGGTTTGTCTCCCCCTCTGACTTACTCCCCTTCATTCTTCCCCTCCTGCTATCTTTTTCTTTTTCTTTTTTCTTAACATATGTTGCATTATTTGTTTCAGAGGTACAGATCTGTGATCTAACAGTCTTGCACAATTCACAGCGCTCACCATATGGGCACAAGTCTTTATCAACCTTACTGATTCTCTACAAATTTCTAGACTATAAACCATTACCGTTTCATACTCAAAATTACAAAAGTTTTTTTTTCTTTAGTTTTTTAAGAAAACTACTTCATTCTCTTGATCATTTAAGATATTGGTCTCCAAATGCTTTGATCACATCCCCCCATACACATGTTAATAAAGTATAGGTGTAAAATGTTTGATCAGCATGTTAAATACTGGTTAATCTTAATTTCTTTCCTTTTTTTTTTAGGTAACACGTGACAACAGCAGCAGTAGATACTGATTGATTGCCATGTGCTAGTGGTACACAGTGAAGAAACTGAGGCCCAGACAGGTTAATTAACTTGCTGAGGTCACAAAAAATTAGTCCATGGCAAGGCCAGAATTTGAACGCAGGTAGTCTGACTGCAGAGCCTATACCTTAACCCTTACACTATATAAAACAATATATTTTAAAGCTCTCAGTATCTTCTTACACCCAGTGGACAGTCTTGCTTGAGTCCCACTTTGAGGCTCATAGCTCCAGAGCAGTTGAAGTATGTCTCTAAGGCTCACTGACGACACTTGTAAAATGCAGATGTTCAGGCTCTACGACCAGGGACTCTTATTCAGCTGCTCGGGGGGGGGGGCCCAGGAACCTGCATTCTGAATGCTCCCACGTGATTCCAGTGCAGGTGGTCCTTGGACCTCTTGTTGAGAAACACAGCTCAAGATATATTTTTTAAATTGAATATTATCCTAAAGCTGTGGGTATTTTTCTTTGGTGATATAGTGCACTGTTCATATTAATAATTCAAATCAGCTTCTAACCTTCTTCCCTTGCTCATGTATGAGGCCTTCTGTTTCGATAAAGGGCTTGCTACAATGAGGAAAAATGAATTCATGCCAGAACTTCATGCTAATAACATATCAAACAGTAATGAGGTCCGTTGGTAATTAATAAGTTCTAGAGACAGAAACTCATTAATTCTTAATTCCATTCTATTGAGGACCTTGTTAAGGTGAATGCTCCCATGTAAAATGGGAAAAGCTTTCAGGGCAAAAAAGGTAATATAAATGACCCCTCCCCCAAATAAATTTGCTGCCTAGATAATTTATTAAATCCACAGAATAATACCTGGAAGATACGATCACTTATTTTGGCCTACAATTTACCTGGCACCAAGAAACTGATGACTACCTGTCTCCCCTAAGATTGTGAAAAATGGACCATTGCTTGTCCAGGGGTACGGGAGGGGGAAGCATGTAACCTAAAATAGTTTAACAAAAGTCATGTGTAACTGGAAAGTGATAAACTAAGTCTAGGAGATAGTGGCTAAAAATGGTAAAAGCTAATCTACATGGGCATCTTTTAAAGACCAAGCAAATGAAAAAGACAGTTCTGCCCAGAAATGGAAGACAGTTCTGCCCAGAAATATGCCCAGCAGTGTTCCAGTCCTGGGTAATCCCCCAGTCACACCCAGCAGTAAGGCATCTGAAGCTCCGTTCCCCATGGGCTAACTGCTGTGACAAGGGTCCACTTGCCTTCTGCGAGGCAGTACGCAGCTCCGCCAAGCTGGTGGCAAGGTTCTTGGCACACTGGCTCAGCTGCATAGCTGCAGCCTGGTCACTCACGGTGGGCACTGCGGCTTTGGCAGAGGACACCATCTTGCTTCCAGGCTGTAAAGAGAGGAGCAGAGAGCAAGAGGGCTCCTGAGCAGCACAAGTCAGAGAGTAGATACCCAAACAGCAATGCCGCAAGTCAGCCAGAACTTACTTAGCCCTAAAACAAGGAATATCAAAACCATCTTGACTACCCCCGAAAATTGCCACCCCAGATCAGATATCCTAGGGCAGTATGCTCTTGAAATGTTATGAAAAAGGAAAAAAAGGTATGTGTCATCGAGAGGGGCACTATTAGTATGATGTCTTGAAATTCTCATTTAAAACAGATCGCAAAGAGAGTTTATTAAATACATTTGTGTTTCTTAGAACAGCTCTTTAATCTGTGTCTCAAATACATCCAGGAGACTGCTTTAAAAAATGTGGGCAGACAAGATGAAAGAAAATGACCTGTCACATCACCTCTCACTACCCAAGATAATCTCACCATGCACGGATGCCTGTGCGCATGCATCTATATTTCCAAAAATAAGATCATACTATTTATTCTATTTTTCAAACTCCATTTCACATATTCTATATTTTTAATAGCTGTATAGTATTCCATTGTATGCATCTGTTAATATTTCTCAATCCTGTGTTGTTGGGCATGTTTCCATTTTTTTTTCCAGTGTAATAAACAAGAGTATGATAAATCGCTTTGTAGCTAAAATTTTTCACACATTCATAATTTTCTTCGTATAAAACTTTACAATGTCTGGACCAAAGAATATACACTTTTAGGGGTTTTAATATAGATGTTATAAAACTGCTCTTAGTAAAGTTGAAACAATTTAAGTGTCAGAAAATAAACACTAATGACAGAAGTTAATATTTTTAATAAATAACACATGAGAAGTCATTAAAAAAAAAAACAGCCTGAAATGTGAGTAGATAACCTCACTTAATAAAAACAAATGAAACACGAAACACATTTAACATTGTGACAATCAAGGAAACGCAAAATCAAACAATAAGAACCTCACTGAGAAACTGTCAACAACCTAGCTTTTAAATGCTTGACTCCCCAACTTGGAAAAGATGTATAAGAAAATGTGCTCCATGCATTGCTACATGTAAATTTAGATTCATTCAGCCTTCCAGAAGGGCCATTTTACAACACATATGAAAGAAGTTTAAAACGTTACCAACTCTTTGGTCTGTCAATTCCATTTCTACTTATTTCTAACTCTGCCTTATTCTTGTAACCATCTGATGTGTCTATGATTGCCAACATTAAAAGAATGAAAGAAAAGGGAAAAATAAGAGTGGGGACAGAGCAGACCCTGAAACATGTCTACATGGCTCTATCATAATACCCTAGAAGCCTGCTCGCAGTGGGACGACACAACCAGCTCCAGGCCTTCGAACCAACCCCGTGAAAAGAGAAACACCTGTCCAAGCCACAACACTCAATGTCCCCAAGATAAAGATAAGCCACTTGCAATCCTATTTCTAGGAACGTATCCTAATAATTCAAGAGGAATACAAATTTTCGAGCACACATGAAGAATTTTATCCTATCACAGGTTGTTTATGACGGCAAGTAATTGAAAACGACCTGTCCGTCTAGTGGCGAGGGAATACCCAAACAGAGCACATCTGTGGCCAAATGACAGATTATTCGAAATCAGAAATGCTCATAATACAAATGTTCACGTGAAAAACAGTCTACACACAATAAACCCCAACTTAAAAAAAATATATACAGGGATGCCTGGGTGGCTCAGCCGGTTAAAGCATCTGCCTTCGGCTCGCCCTAGAGTTACAGCGCTTGGAAAAAGAGCCCAACAGATGTATCAGCGAGTCCTGTAACCACAGGTTCAACTAGAAAAGGACAAGGAAGACGCTCACTTGATCTCATGAACTGTTCAGGAGATACGGGAAGTGCTGAGGGATTCGAATACAAGAAGTATGTAAAAAGGGAGTTTTCCCCACCACTTAACAGTCTCATTTTATTTTCCTTAAAATGAATCTACCCCGTAGCTGGCAAAGATGGACACGACTTACTAATTGTACAACTGCCACAAAAAAAGATCACACCTTTGGAGTGATCTTAGCACTTAGCACTTCTTTTTCCCCAGTCTGTGAATAACAACATTAGACTCTCTGGAAACTGGCAAACCTAGAGCACTACCCAGTACCAGGCTGTTCGATAAAACTTGCAACTTAATCCCGTTTGCCCTCACAGAGGAGAAATAAAGATGAGATTCCCAAGAAAAATGGATTATGGGCCATCTCCCAGGACAGTTTCCCTACATATTAGCATTTTGCTTTGCCAAACTAAATCCACCTCTCCTGCAAGTGGGAATATAATGGGAAGGGCTTCAAAGGTCTGCTTACTGCAAAGACTTGGATGTGGCTGTGGGAACTGGGTAATTCTTCTCTCCTTAAGGATATAAAGGGCACCCCTGACCCCACAGGTGGGGGGTGCTCTGGGCACAATCAAGGTGACTGCTTCTGTTACCTGGAGGAAGTTCTGGCTGGAGATGATGAGAGCCAGCTGGGCGCTAAGGTCTTCTGCTTGGGCTTGGCTCCCTCTCACCCCCTGGACCAGCTGAGGGATGTGATCGGCCACTGCCTATAGGAAGCAAGGAAAATTAAAACAGAGCTCATCCAGCATGGTGAATGACCAAAACAGGGTGGGAAAGGACCCCAGGGATGAATGTTTTTGGGATGTGCTATTCCACTGGGGCCATGCTTGTCCCAGATCTTGCATTTACCCCGCACTCGTAAGCCAGCTGGGTCCTTAAAAACACTGAATCCTAACACAGCACCTCTGGGGAGCTGTCTCCCACACACGCTCTACTCTTGCGCTCCTGAAGGTGCCAGTACATTTAAGCACAGTATGAGTCTCCGGAAGGAGGTCTGTTTTCTGCATTGGCCCACTTGTAACAAATACCAACCTGGCCAATTACAGTTTAGAGCTTCAAAGCAAACAAAGAATCTATACAATTCGTCAGTATCAAGTCTCACAGTCCAATGATGAGAAAAAAGTAAGAGAAGTACTCAACTTCCAGCCTATGTCAGTGCTTTGATTTCTCACTTGGCAGGTAAGCGTTCCGTCCGTCACCTTCCTGTCACTACGGGTCTTCCTTCTCGGAGCAGCCCTCCTCATTTCTCAAATTGGAAATCCCAGTGCCCAGGGTGGAGGAGGGAGGAGCCGGATTTCTGTGCCATAGGAGACCAGCCTTCTCCCTTTTCTGTGTTCTCCCATCTGTGGCCACTCCTCACCTGACTGGCCAGGTCCTCAACGGTCACAGCACAGTGGCCCCCATTGCTGATGAAGTTCCCAACCGTATCCCAGCCTGCTGACCTATTTTTTTTTGGAACCCATTCCAGCAAGCGTAAAAAAAAAAAATATTTCCATGAGATTTTCCTCAGATCCTCTTCAGGACTTGCTCCAGTAATCGGGTCCACTTTGTTCTCCACTGCAACCTGATACATAGTAAAGCTCTCATTTCCTGACAGTGACGCCCAGACCCTGAGTATCTTCAGTCTCTGCAAAAGGGGGAGGGGTGTAGTCCGTCCTGTAGGATTGTCCTGGACACGAGTAGCAAGTGCTCTTTGAGAAGAGTTTTCTCACTCGTGCTGCCAGCTCACTTGAGGCTCTAACAGGCAACGCACACCCTCTACAGGAGTCTGGCTTGCAGAAAAACCCCTTCAGTCTGCATCCATTCTTGAGGACAGGGCCTTACTGCATCGCTGAGACTTTTCTGCTCTTCGGTGGGGGGCTGGCCTCAGAGAACCCAGAATCGGGACCTGAAGGGCTCTGGGGGATTCTCTTCAGAAATAAAACCATCTCTGAGGTAGAAGTGGTAATACCACTTCCATGTAAACCGTATCACAGAGGAGATGTGAAAAAGTCAGGACAGTGCAGTCAAACTCTCAGAACCTTGGTACAGATACAGCTCGCCACTCAGCCCCCACTGCTCACTGCAAACACCCTTGGAAGCTCCAGTCAGACATGCTGCCAACATGTGGGCAATGGTGACGCAATTATATGTTGTGTCTGGCACCATTCAGGGGTGTCCTGGGAGACTGAACTCCCTGGGCCTTCAGAAGCAGCAACAGAGGTGTTCACTGTGCCCTTTGGAGCACGCTGGCTTCAACACGCCATCAAGGCCCGGGTCTCAAAGGAACAAACACGCAACAATGGAGAGCCCCAAAGCACACGGTCACTGAGGCCAGATGGGATGAAATAAACCTGCCATCAGTGCGAAGCAGGGAATCAACCCTCCTACTACCAGTACACACCGAAGGCCAAGGCCCACCTCTCAGAGGGAGAAAGGCCCTCTGGAAATTCAATGCTTCGTTACTATTTCAGAGCCCCAAAATGGCCTTCTTATTGATCCTCCTTGATTTGGTCTCTTGAAGAGAAAGTAGACAAAAGAAAGACAATGCGGGAAAAAGCACCATATTCTCCCTTCAGCCACTTATGAGACAAAAACCAGACGCGTGTGTGTGTGTGTGTGTGTGTGTGTGTGTGTGTGTGTGTGTACACACCTGGAACATGGGAGCCTGAACAAACTGCATTAGGGGCCCGGGTGATCAGTCGTAACCGAATTACCACGGCGCCTGGCCCTCTAATGCTCTCCGCGTCATCTGTGGCAGCCCTGGCTCTCGGGCGGCCGGAAGCTCACCTTGCAGCTCTGAACCAGCTGCTGCTGGGCGGCGGGGTTCTTGTTGGACACGGCCGCGTTCTGGGAGGCGGCGATGGTCTGCGTGGCGGCGGCCGCAGCCTGCTTGGCTGCCACCTGAAGAGGAGAGCGACAGGAGGTGAGGCAGGCTTCGAGTGCGCCCTCACACACGCACACACACACGCACACACTGACATGCGCCCCTCCCACGGAGGGGCTGGCACGGAAGAGCCGCACGTGTAAGAAAGGGCACTCCAGGCCCAGGCCCTGCCTTCTGACGGCCACCGAGGAGCCTCGTCTAACAAGGCCCCGTTACCTCCGCGTGGTTTGCAGTCCCTAGGACGAGCGATAAAGACAGGCACGCCTGGAAGCTCAGGTTCCAGGGTTCATTTGTCTCTCTCAAAAAAGATAAGGGACAATCAGTTCCAAGACCACGATGGCACTGATAAGTGGCATCAAGTCTAAATGTTTTAGGGGAATTGTTTCTTTCCCCCCCACAAGCAGCACAAACGCTGGTGTGCCCATGGCTCTCCTCTTGCCGCCCACGGGAAGCCTTGCTTCAGAAAGGCCCAGGCTTCCGCACCGGAGGACTTAATTGTGTCTCTCACATCCTTCCAAGAACAAGGAGGCCAGTTTTGTTCCAGAATCCAGCACACTACATGGAGGGATTCGTCAGACAGGCAGGTTCTCGGCCTCCAACCTCCCAAATTTTAGTGGAAGAGTCTCCTGTGTACCTTTGTGAGAGAAATTTATTTTCTTACAGAGTTTGTGCCTACTGCTATTTCCTTTTCTTCCCCCCAGAATAAACACATGTTCTGAAAAATGACAAAAATATTTTCTTATTCGTCCATCCCATACCTCCCACCAAGGCCTGATCCCCATCCTCCAGTCTTTCTAAGTCTGCGTTTTCTGTTGCGAGTCCTGAAAGAGTCATTGCCTCTGACAAAACATATACATTTGCAGCTAAAGTTCCTTTCTGAACATGGGCATCTCTTAATGCCAGGGGGAAAAAAAAAATCCCTATTTCCTCCTGAAAAAAAAAAAAAAGGGATCCTATTCAAGAATGCTAAAATCAGAAAAGACTTTGCTTACTGAAACCATGAGCTGAAGCTATTTTTCAAAGTGTCAATGTGCCACTGAACCTAAATGTACAATGTACCTAAAGCAACATTTCAAATTGTTTATGAGTACCTTAACCATTCGACCATATCGTTAATCTTGATTTAGCTTCCTTTATATGGGCATTGCCTTATTCATTTGGTCACTCTTTGAAATAAACTTTTTGCAATCTAAAACAGACATCCTAGGAAACCAGCCTCTTTACCCACCTCCAATCGGTTGACAATTTTTTTCTTGATGGCGTTCTGGGCGGCGGCGTTTGTTGCTACCCGGAGGCCTTCCGCAGCTTCTCTCAGTCTCTGCTGCTGGTCTTCATTCTCAGGATTGGCTGCAGCCCCCTGAAAAGGAGAAAAGAGAGATTTTGAGAGGTCCATGGGGCAGCATGCCACAGATGCTGAACTCGTGCCTTCAGTTTTACTTTCTCCTGGTAATACAAAATATCTGGAAGACAGAGCAAATGCTTCAAGCAGTATCTTTACAATAAATATGTTTCATCTCATAACAACATAAAAAATCTACCGGGGGATGTTTCAAAGCTGCAGCCGTAAACAAGAGAAATCCACTGGTAATAATCAAACCCTTGTGATCCCAGCCTTGGTCATCCATGTAAATTAACTTGTGGTCAGATATCCATGGTTTCAAAGATGTTAAGACAGATCTCCCTTCCCCCACCCCAGATCTCTCAGGGAGAATTTGATTTTAATTGGAGTGACAGACACACGTCACTGCTGAAAGATTCTCCTGTCTTGCAGCACTAGTTAATGTGGATGGGATAAGAACATAGGATAAACAGGGGCTGGGGACACCACCCAAAATAAGGAAATGTTGTGTAAGAAAGACCATGCCTAGAAACTGCATTCCTGGAAAACCTGAGTTGGAGAGTATAGCAAGGTAGAGCTGGGACTCCACTGCACTGAAATAATGAGAGCTATCCCATGCCCCTTCCCTTGGCAGGGAAAGAGAAAGGGCCATGCACGGCCCATGGCCACATGGTTGCTGTAGGTTCAAGTGTCTTAGGTACGCAAATGGGTTTTATTGAGATGGGTGGAATTCTGAAGTAGGGAAAAGGCTAATGGTAATGTGATATAATTTTACTGCACAATAATTAACAAAGACTTAAAGCACATCCAGCCTTCCACTCCCACCTGCAGTAGAAGAGGTGATTGAGATTTTTCTCACCAAGTCTGGATGTTCTGAGACCAGTTCTTAATGTATACAGATGAATGAGTTTCTTTTCATGAACACTTCAGGGTGATAATATTTGCTCACAAGGCAGAGACAAAAGCAGAAACACACACGCCAATTATTGAAAATCGATTTTCCAATGTCTCCATCTTCCAAACGGCCAATTTGCCAAATTGACCATTTATAAGAACCTATTTCTTTGAACTATTTATAAAAGTTATGGGAAGTCATCCCGGCTGGAACAGTTTTAACGTCTGTGATCAAAGTGTTTTGGCAATCCTTTTGAAGGGAATCTTCCATTCTTTCAAACTGTAAACACTTTAAGTAGTCTTGATTTTGTATGTCTAGCAACTAAACAAATTCTGCTTTTGTATTTCATGTGTGAAAGGTTGTCTGGGCTACTTTTGTATTCTTTTGCAAATTTAGGAAAATCATTTTATTTTCTTGGTCATCAGGTATTTAAACCACTCCTACATTTGCCTTCCTTTGGTATTCTAGGCAGCAGAAAACCATCATTTCTGCACTTGACTCTGAAGTGAGCATCTGGATCCTTCCTTAGCAACATCTCTTTCACGATGAACATACATTAGATATGCAGTACTAATCTTGGCCCGGAATCTTAGCTACTGATTATGAAATGTATTTTTTTTCTGCACATTAAATATATTTTTTGGAGCTCTAACCATCATAGGCTCGTTAGCTTTCAACAAAATTCCGCAAATTAAAATACTGTCATGAAGACCAAGTGACAACTTTTAGCTAAAAGAATGTATGGAAACACCATTGTCCCATCTGATAGAAATAATCAGAAATAAATACTTAAACAAGTTTCTGGTAACATGGTACCTTCAGTAAGGTCTGGTGAGCACTACACATCTAGAAACAAATATACACAATGGTCCTGGCTCAATCTTGATTATGTGATGGTAGGCTTAATCGTTTTAATTTTCCTATTTGTTAAGTAGGGATTGATTAGATTTTACACTAAGGTTCTTTCCAGTCTGCCAATTAATTTTTGTCAACAGGAAGGTTTCCTTAAAATAGGTATGCTTAGACTTAGAAGTGGGGTGGGGGGGGCGGAACTCGTAAAAACCATAAAGAAATTAACCACTGCACCAAAACCCTAACACATATTTTTGACTAAAAGGGATGGTTAAGGGCAGAGCTTCTCAGCTGAAACAGGGCTCGGGGGACAGAGGAAGGAAGTTCAGACCCTGCCCCTCCTTGGGTTTCTCTTTATCCTATTCACGAGGTACCTCCAAGAAATGACAGTCCCTCAGGGACTACAGTGGTGAGTCAGTCGAGGAAGGTCTACATGATTCACCACATGTCATAACATATTTTACGTGAAAGAATTCACATGCTAGGTGGTTTGAGGTGCACTCGTATTCTGTTGGAGGCCAGGATGTGGAGGCTTTTAGTGAATCTTAAATGCACAGAAACATTAACAAATACATGTTAACTTAGGCATATGAAGTGGAAGGCGATTTTATTTTATTTATATTCATCAGCATTTTCTATTAATTCCACCAAAAATGTATGCTAGTTGCATAATAACAAAAAGAGGAACATAGAGAAATATACCTTTCTCCATTTAATACGGTTCTCACCTCGAGGTGGGAATCAGAATCTTCTGTGGAACTGACCTGCACGTACACACACGGTCCCACCAGTGACCTTGTGAATCAGGGTCTTTGGGGGCGGGACTGAGACACGTGCCTTTTGATGTTTTACGGGGGGCTCTGAAACAGAGCCCTGAGATAAGAATCACTGGCTTTTAGAAGTCATGTGCTGAAGCACAGCTGTCAAAAAAGCAGAGAGCTGACTCTTAACTCTTCATTCCAGCTGTTGTATAATATTTAAAACTGCTACTGGGATTTGAAGAACAGTGAGGCTGGAAGCACTCTACTATGTAAAAGCGTGATAGGAGTTTAGTTGAGAAGTCGAATGGAGGATAAAGTAATATTCAGGTTGCAGGCAAAAGAAGAGGCCTATTTGAATCTGCTGTTGACAATCTCCAGTTTAAAAGAATCACCATTTGCAATAGCTGATGGCGATAACCCCATGGACAGAGAGCACGCTCACTAAGCAGGGACTTCGTCGTCTACAGCTGAGTCAGCATCACTCCCCTTAAAGAGTGTTATTCTCATGTTCCATGCCCTTCTCCTTTCCCAGTGCAACGAGGTTAAATGTTACACAACCATAGAGGTCTTAAACAACAAAAATGCACTCAGCTGACCATTCTTTATCTTCAGGGTACCTTCCAAATCCTAACTCTTAATAATGGTCTCTTTCCCGTTGAACAAATCCAATGCAATACCTTGGCAGCTTCCACCATGCGAGCTGTGGAGTCGGCCAGGAGTTTCGCGGCTGCCAGGAGCTTCTTTGAGTTCTCCATGTCGATTTCAGCTTCTGCATCCGACCTCATGGCGTTGACGAGGTCTGAGGTCGCCTGGGCCAGGACTCGGGCCTGGCGCACCATTTCACCTACGGGACGGGATTGAGAATGCCATCTGTCCGTCTGCTTTCTAAAGCTCAAAACCAGCACAGTCTAGTCTCCACACCTCTGGCAAGACGGACAGAGAGAAGGGAGCCCCCAAGCTCTAGTCCTAAGCAATGCAGCCCACTTAGACCCAGGACCGAAAATACTCCCCATGGCTACCAGGACCGTACACCCCAAACACAGCCATCTTCCATCTTGAACTCTGAGGGACAAATAGAACACCATGAAGCAAAGAGGAATTCTTTTGTGAAAGAGAAAGCAGGGAACAAAGTTATGTGGATTTATTATGCGGTTTAGTAAAATATTTATTTAGAAAATATTATTTACCTCACTTCAGGAACCACTTACACAAAGTCCTTATAATAAACTCTGCATAATGGCATAGAAAATTACTTTTGAAATTTGAAAGAATTTGCATGTTACCTAACTCCAGATGAATAATGTCACATGATCCATTGTATTTGTGTCATTTGGCTCTCACTAATAGGAAGCACAGACCCCAGTTTCATGCTCAATTGCTAACATTTGCCTTGGCTCAGTTTTTCCTATCAGTTTTCTGTTTGCTCACCCTTTTCTTCCTAGTGCTGGTTTTGATCTTATTATTAGTAATTGTTTGGTTTTACTGTTCCTGTGATTTTACTGGCATCTATTTCAATTTTCTTTTAGAAGTAGGAGGGGTAAAAGAGTAAACATTTAAAAAAGAACTACTCAAATGTAAGGGAATTTTTCCTCCCCTAAAGGTCATTTGAGGATGTCAAAACACTGTGATATTAAGGAGGAAAAAAAAGCTTTCATAAAAACCAAAATGTGCTAAATTCAAGGTAGCATGGATTGGATCCTGGGATGGTAAAAAGACTTGAGTGGAAAATCTGGTGAATCTGAATCATGTCAGTAGTGAATAGTTATGCATCAAGGTTAATCTAGTTCTGACAAATGTGCTGTGGGTTAGGGAAGATGCAAAAAATGAGGGAAAATGGGAAAGGTATAGAAGAACTCTCTGTATTACTCTGCAACTTTTCTGTAAATATGAAAGTATTCCAAAATAAACAGTTTATTAAAAAACAACAACAAAAAACAAAAAATCCAAATGTGCAGAGTATGCTGATCTTCCTGAATCATGTAAGGAGGATACAGAAAAGCACACATTTTTATTTGTTTCTTTTCAATACTTGTTACAAAGAATGGCTCTGTGCTGACAAGGAAGTAAGCAGACAAACCTCTTACAAACTACTGGTAGGGTTGCAAACCATAGAGCCTTTCAGAAATTCCACTTACTACATATAGCCCTAAAAGTAAACCAAGATATTTTTATAAAAAGAGTTCCTACAGTATTATTTTTGTTAAAGCAGAACAAACTAAGAAGCAAACCAAAAGACTTGGAAATGACCTACATGTCTATTTAAAGATAATTGGTTAAGTAAATTATGATAGAATTCCGTGGAGTAGAATATTATGCTGCCATTAAAAAGATTAGCATATAGGTCAACATGAAAAATGTCTTTAAGATGTATTAAGAGAAAAAGTTTGCAGAAGAGTATAAATAATGCATTTTCATTATTATAAAAAGAAAGATGGTGTTAAAAATGCATATACACACATACACAAGCATGTGAGACTGTGGGAAGATCATGTAAAACAGAAATTGGTGAGTTGCCAAATCTGGAGATTTAGATGGGATAGAGCTGGGCTGGGCCTGGGGAGACTGACTTTTCAACTAATAGACTGGAAGGTACATTTTATCTATTTTTAAATTTTCTGGATATTATGATGTTTGACATCATATCTTAATACCTTTCTGGCTCGAGACAGACTGCCCTTCTGAAGGCTAGCCAACTTCTAGAGATAGCAAAAGTCCAGCCAGGAGCACGCCTCTGATACACAAACTAAGCAGCTGGGAGCCACACCTCCTCTATCTGGCCACCACAGCCCTGGACGCAATATCCTTAGGCCTCATTCAACCCGGGGCCTGATTCCAGGCAACTACGATGACCCCTATAGTGTAGAGCCTGCTGCAAATAGTCAAACTAAGCTGTTCACCCTGCCCTGCCTTGGCTTTCCAATGGAAATCCCAATGAAGGCCACAACCTAAGCTTTCCCCCTCTCTCCTATCTTCTGCAAACTGACCAAACCCGAGGCTTCCCCTGGGACCCCGCATGGCACGTGGTGACGCTCTCTCTGGGAACTGTGAGTAGAATACAGTTTTCCTTCCAAGCTTCATTCCTGCACCTTCTGTGGCTGCATCAACTTTACCATGCCACATCCGACATGTTTCTTTTAACAAATGGGATTTGCCAAGAAGTTATTTAAAAAGCCTAGTTAATGAACTCTTTAAGTGTTGCCATGGATGGGCACATTAGGAGTCTTCCATCTTTCTCCCAGCCTCAGCGAGCAAGTCTCTGAGAGAGACTGATGACAACTCGCCCTCGCCAGGCAGCCGTCACCTTTTTTACTCACAATCGTCACCATGAGGGAACCCCAACAGGACCCGTCCACCCCCGGCATCGCCCCCTCACCGGCATCGCCCATGGAGCTGAAGATGCTCTCGGTGACACACATGATGGTGTCGGTGGCCTGGTCGTAGCGGCCGATGGGCTCGCCTCGGCTGGCAAACTGTCGCACATGCTGCAGGAGATCGTGCAGGGCCTGGCTGACCACGCTGGCCGCTGCGCTGACCTGCTTCAGGAGCTCGCTGTCGTCGGTGGCTGCCTGGCAGGCACGGACACAGTTCTCCACTGAGCGGTCCACGAGCTTGCCCGCTTCAATCAGCTGCTCCTGGCACACGGGGGAGCTGATGGTGGGGCTCACCACCTAAAGTAAGAAACGAGCGGGTCTCGGGCACTGAGGGTCAATTCTCGGTCCCCACTGTGCCCTAGCATTTCCACCATGTTCCTTCCTGCTCTGCACCTCGGTTCCTTACTTAGAGGACCAGGGATTACACTCAACCATCACTGAAGTTTCTCATACTTGATGATTTCACTCTACCTCTGTGACTTTTGATGCCCATTAATTTTTATCTTCTTCAGTGATACGTAACTATTCTACTGACCACTTCCCTAGAGAGAAATTTTTGGTATTTATGTCACGCCTCTTCCTTTTAGGAACGTCTAACTTGAGTCCCCTGAGCTAGGATAACAAGACTATCTAAGAGAATTGTATTTCTTTTCCAGAGACATCTGGAACTCTGTACCTCTTGGTACTTTAAAGAACGGGGGGATTCTGTCAGTTAACTGTGGGTACTTGGAGGGTGCACAAGGAAAGCAGGAGCGATACCATCAGGACTCCTCCTTCTGACAGTGCAAATCCCACCACAGGATAGGAAATGCCAGGCTAAGCTGGTCACAGATAGAAGATGTTATGTCATCAAGTTGAGAAAACGGACACCTCCCATCTTCTGATGCATGAACACACGGTGAGAAAAGGGTAAAAGGAAATCCGACAGGCTTGGGCTTATCCTGGTCCTGCCACGGAGGACTTCTGTGGCCTCAGGCTACTTACGAACATTTAGGGGCCTCAGTTCCCCTTTGGCAAACTGGGGATGATGTGCTCAACAAGGTAAAGTCTGACACCCAGAGTGTGCACATCGTAATGGGCAACAGTGAACTTAATCCTGATTACCCTCACTCTAACACTTCGCAGTGCAGGAGGGGCACCCCAAATCGGCGGGTAATCTATGAACCCGTTCATGATGCTCTACTACATTTCTGTACAACGCAAGAACTCTTTGTGTGCAGGTGTAAATAAGACACACTGAGAAGCCCAAAGGAGAGACACGGCGATCTGCAAGCAGAAATGGCCATTAGACGCAGACAAGGACCCCTGCCTGAGGGCTTGGGCAACGAAAAAATGATAAAAGCACAATGGGGCGGTTAATGCCAAAATCCTATCCTGTCATCTTAAAGACAACACCTGATGCAAGCTCCAAAGCATAGACAATTTTAACAAATTCTGCCTCTGGTCTCCCCCAGTGACTGGAGGCAGACCAGAGCATGAGATGCTTGGAGGAAAGGGCCTGCAGTACCAGCTGGCTTACCTTGGCACACGCCACAAGCTGGGAGGTAGAGAGGGCACACTGGGTGGCTGCAGCAATCACCCTGTTCTGTAGCACTGTGTCTTCAGCTACTTGGGCAACATTCTTCGCCTTTAATACCAACATGGCAGCAGCATTGGCCACAGCTTTGGCCAAACTCATTAAAACATCCTAAGATGGGGAATAAAAAAATGGGCATTTATTTTTTTTAATCACCCTTTACAGCCTAGAAATAAAACATGGTGTCCACTTAAACACTTTATTAAAATTCCATTTGAACTTTTTCTTTCCAGTCCTTCATAAGCATATTCTTTCCACTTATTTTTCTGAAATGTCAACTCATCCTTAAACGTAATTAAAGAGACTCGTGTCCTCATGACATAGTCTCCTATACATTAAGTAGCATAAGGTTTAAATCTAAAATAGGGTAATTTCAGGGGAGGGTTTTTATTTTAACCACTGATTCACATTCATGTACTTCTCTAACCCCGAGTCTCGATTAAGTCTCTTGAATATGTGGTCGATGCAGTAGCTCAAGAAAAGCTGGAAATGTATCCAGATGCCATAAATACAACATGCTGTAGGAAGGATAGAATTCATGGCCTCCAAGTCATCATGTCTCACTGTCACTTGAAAATTTATCATTTGGATTTCCGTTTTGCACAAGGATCCAAGGTGCCATCAGAAATTCAGGCCACATCTCTGCCTCCAGAGGGCAATGTTGGTCATGCACAGACAATACCTATAGCTCAAGAGCCAAGGAATGCTCTGAAGATAAGTTATTTTCAGTGTTCTGTAGTCTTCTGGATAGGGATTAAATTATTACGAGAAGTGGAAAGGGAGCCTACATAAATAAACTAGCTACGTGCTACAATCTCACTGAAGATGCAAGGAGCTCTGAGCCTTTATAGATCAGTTTATGCTTTGACTCAACAAAAAGGCATTCTGTCTGCAGGATGGAGAATCCTTTGATTTAGTCCACCAGATTTGTCACCCGTCTGTGTGACCTGAAGAATAACCACTGTTAACATTTAATTTGTTTCTTTGCTTTTGGTATTGAAGGTAGTTTATTTGGTTTGGAAATGCCTTCCCAAACACATCCCAAACATATGAGCCATTTTTATTTTGAACAAACATGTCAAGGCCTTCTCCCAGAGGAAATGTGGTCAGAAGTCTTTATTAATTCATCAGATAATGAAAAGCACTTTTGATTCTGAATGCAAAGGGCACCCACAGAGTCTTTACAAGAAGACATTTTATGAGATGATATATTGGAGAGAGTGTTCAGCCTGCACAGTGTTACACAGAGCAGAAACTATATGCTATCCAGGCAAATCAGAAACCCATAAACCTACCACATAAGCCAATTGTAAAATAGACAAAAACCAAGCAGTCTTAAAGGAACAGTTTAGTCCAGTCTTTCTTTTAGGTCTCTGATGTTTATTAGATGTCCAAGGAAAAAGCAAAGTCTGAGGTTCCAAACGTTGAAGATGCCTTTAGGATCTGAATGGCACTTGTATGCCACGTAACTTTTAGAAATTGCTCCCAACACAGCCTGTGAAGTTACAGTTTTGTTTTTTTTTTTAAGATTTTATTTATTTATTTGACAGAGAGAGACACAGTGAGAGAGGGAACACAAGCAGGGGGAGTGGGAGAGGGAGAAGCAGGCTTCTCTCCGAGCAGGGAGCCCGATGTGGGGGCTCGATCCCAGGACCCTGGGATCGTGACCCGAGCCGAAGGCAGACGCTTAAGGACTGAGCCACCCAGGCGCCCCTGAAGTTACAGTTCTTGAACACCTATCTCGATGCTCAGCAAACACTCAACTTGAATGTCACAAATTATTTACAAGATTTTTAAAAATATCTTTCCAAAGTGGGTCACAGTATTCTTTCACTTGATATGGATTTGTCTTTTCACAGAGGGACTAAGATTTGGTCATGTAGACTCATGATTGTTCTAAAGGGCTTTGTTAGACTCATTTAAAGAAATCCTATTCCTCCTATTAATTTTGTCCAAAAGAAATACAGTTGGAAAAAGAACGTGATGCTATAGCCACAGTTGCTGACAAGGCCTTTGTCAAACCTTTCAACAAGACCACTATTATGTAGCCCATGTAAAATAAATCTTTGTTAACTCTGGGAACATGCAGTACACTGAGAACCCAGGAAAAACTCTGAGATAAGATCTCAAGAATCAGAAAAATAGAGCATAAGAAATCCAATGTCAGTAAGCCAGGGTCTACTCATAACTGGAGGGGGTTGCAGGATCACCTTACCGCACTGACGTTTGCCCAGAGATCTTAAAGAAATGGAAAGCATTCAAGTCAGGCCTTTCTTTCCCTGACACGGAAGCCTCTTCAGGACCCTACCGCGAACCTGAGCCTGCTTTCCTAGCATGTCTGAATACAAACAACAGGAAGCAGAGGTTGCATTTTTATGTGATGATAACGGTCTGTCAAAGAGAGAAAGAAAAGAAAACGTCTTCAGCAAGCCAAGGTGCATGCAGAGTCTTCAGGAAGACCTGTGACTTTCTTCTCCACCGTTCGAAACACTCTGGGGAAAGGGGTCATATTTTTGAGGAAAGTCAGTTGACCACTTCATGTTAATGAAGCCTAGTAAACCAACAGCTGACTGTCATATTTACCCAATTCCTAAGCAGGTGCCTGCCTACAAAGAGTTACCTGCTCTAATACAAAAAGCAAGAGCCAATACAAGGGCAGTTTGGGGATCTGGCTCAGGGGAAGTCAGGATAGGGTCACAGTTAGCTAGAATTTAGTGGGATATGGTTATGTGGTCTGCCGTCAATTCTCTTTGAAATGAAATTATTACCGGCCATCCCAGCATAGAAATAGTTTCCAGGAATATTGCTACCCACCACCACCCGCCCCGCTCCCCCCATCATGGGGCTCACCCTCCATCATGACACGAACGTTCAAGCACTGACAGTCTTAATGCATTACAGGACACGAAGGAGTCCTCTGGCTCCAGCACCACACGTGTGTGGTAATTAGAGGAGAAACAAAACTCATCTATGGATGCAATTTCCGTGTATCACAACATGTACGACCATGTTATAGCGTAACTGACGCATCTTGTGTAGATGGAGTTTGGTAGTTCCAGAGAAAACAGCATACAAAACTGCTACTCATGAAGAAAGAAACTTGAATTCTACAGCAAAGTTGAATGATCTTTTTATTCTGAATGCTACAGAATTCCCCACTGGTCAGCCTGACATAGGATCTGGAAAAGGGCATCTTCCAGAGAACCTGGCCTTGAACGGTAAGTTGAATTAGAATGTAGTTATATACTACTTAAAATTAGGTCTTATGAGAAGGAGAAAGGCATGAAGGGCATCTGCCCACAAGGATGTGAGAAGACAAGCTCAGTGTAGCCTGGAGCTCCCCTCATCTGTGGCAGCTGGGAACGGAGGCAGACAAGCGGAGCTCCTATTTGAGCTGGCAGCACATCAAACCAGCTGAAAGCAGGGGCTACAACTGTGAGCAGAGGACAAACAGCACATATCCTTGGTACTGAACAAGGAGGGTAACAGAAAGAAAAAAAGTCCCTACCACGCTGATTTTGGATATGACACAGACAACAGACCCACCTCTGAGTACAAAGGAGAGCCTATGCTGTCTGTGAGTGCAGTGTACGGGAGCACACGTTTCCTCCTTTATGCGGACTCCAGAATAATGCAGTTAAAAACCGCCCCCAGAAGACAAAACAAGACTGCCCATGAGTCGATAATTATAGAGACTGGATGGTAGACACAGGGAGTTCATGGCATTATTTCCTCCGCTTCTGCGTTTAATGAATGTCCAGCATATTGTCCAGTGAGCATAGCTAAATAAGCGCTTTACAAGAATGATGCATGATATGAAGGAAAGTGAGTTTTTTAGTTGAAAATTAAAAAAAAAAAATTAACAAAGCCCTCCCCCACCCCAAGAAAATCCACCTCATTTTTATTCTTGACAACCCAGTGAAGACTTGGTTTTTCATACTTTCTCCCTGTTTGGGTCTAGACCATCACTTAGACCCCTTTTCAAAATTAGGGGCGGCAAATATCTTACCTGGAATCGCTCATCAGTCTCATTCTCTCCGATCTGCCTCAGAAGATCCCCACTGGCTTGTCCAATGCTTCCAGCAGCAGTCAAAACTGTCTGTCGAGGCTAGAAAAACACACGTTGGTTGGAAAGAAAATGCATTTCCTCCACAGTGTCATCAGACAGCAGGGCAGCAGAAGGAATCCTAAGGGACTGGCCTCCTCCTACACCTAGATGAGAGTCTATCTGCTAGATGGGAGACTTAAATACCCTGGCAAAATCTGTGCAAGGAAATGCCTGATGTCTCACGAACCAGTCACAGGTGGATCGACTGGAAACGTTCAATCAGTGAGTCTTGCTCAGCTGGTAGGAAGGTGATATGCACTTTATGGAAATTAGGGCACAAACTTATATCCCCTTCAAATGTGTATTGACTGTGTGTGTTTCTGAGGTTGAATCGAATCAAGTACCCTGGGGTGAGGGGACAGGGAGGTTTCCTACTAACAGCACAACCAGTCCCAAAAGTTGAACCATAGATTCTGTACCCAGTTCACCAACTCCAAACCCCACGGTATGGTAACATGCCCCATCAGGATGGAAGGAACAGCTTCAGAGCAGGAGCCCTGTAGTACTCAAGGCTGCACCTGCCTCATCAGAACCTGAGTGACCGCGTGCCCCAAGAGCTCACCTCTCCAGAAGTAGGCTGCACAGCTTTCAGCAAGTCCGACACTGCCCCCGCGAGGGTCCTTGCAGCTCTGAGCAAGTCCTCCCCACTGCCCACCTCATCGTCCATCAGAGCCGCCAAGAGCTTCACGCCCTTGGACATCTCCGTCAGGTTGGAAGAAATGGTGGTGATTGCACATCCCACTGCTGTGTAGTCGGTGTCTGCAGGGTCACCTGGGACAGAGAAGGGCCGTCACCGTCACAGGAGGGTGGTGAAGGGTTAGGAGAGCCCAGATGGGTGATGGCATCAGCCATCACTCTGCAGGTCGAACACAAAGCTGCACGCGCACAGGGTGACACCGGGCTCCCTGTCTCCAAGGTGCTGCTTCTCCCGAGTCCTTTTGCCCCGAGGCCTCCTACGCTGAAATACTGAGCATGAACCCCTATACAGTTCCAAAGGAAGTCTTGGCATCCCATGGCCCTTTCCGTTAGGCCCCTGTCAGCAGCTGAGGCACTGAAATGCTGCACAGAGAAGCCGAGACATTTGTGGGCTCTCACCTGACAGCGCAATGTAGGCGTCCTGCTGGGCCATGAGAGGACTGTGGGACAAGACGGACGGGGGCCCGCGTGATGGATCTATTCCTCCAAAACCCATTTGAGACTATAAGCTCCCAGAAGGGAGAAACCAGCTCCCATACACTTCGAAGTTCGTCCAGCAGACCGGTGAACAATGAGCAGAGCTACGTAAGGGCCTGCTGAAGGATGCATGATATCGACGGAAAGGAATGAGATGTTCCCCACCGTTCTCCTGGGTCGGTGTGAAAAAGTGCCTGGAGCACTCAGAGTGCCTAAAAATAGACTAGCCTCTCCTCCCATGAAAATCTGTTGTTTCAATCAAAGAATAGGAATCGTTTCTAAAGCAAAACCACAACAGCGCACAAGGCCCTCAGAGACTCACCAGCAGTGAGGTTAACTACTGAAGCTGTTCCAGCTGTGATCGCATCGACCTGAGAGTGGATTTCGTGTTTGGACTCGTCGACTTTATTCTGAACCCACACCCGTGACGCCTGCAAAACCAGACAAGGGCACAACACAGTCAGTGCATGGGACTGCCTGGGACACCAGAGACATTGTGCCATAAAATGAGACCAGCATTTTGTCTGTACTCTTGTTCCTGGGCCAGCACCAACGAAGCCCTCAAGTCATCTTAAGTAAAGTCATTAACAGGCCCCTGGCTCATTCACTGGTGCTAAATGGCATGTAAGTCCTCCATGCTTCCTCCATAGTTTTTTCTTGAGCTTTTAGGATCTTAAGAAAAGTTCTACATGGCTTTATTTAGGTAGATTTAATAAAAAATGAGAATTGATTTCTCAATAATACTGCACACCAGCACCAACAACTGTTGCTAATTTCCACCTTGTTTTTTGGAGAGGTTAGAATTAGGGTATTGCGGCTCACGAGTGTTCTCTGTCGGCATAAAGACTGTTTTCTGTTAACATGAATGTGGTGTAGATGTGGCACCTTTCTGGGAAGGACTGGGGGGGTTGGGTCAAGACCTCTGTTCTAGATCCAGCTCTACCACTGACAAGTGACATGACCTCGAGCAAATTGCCTCTAGGTCCTGTGCCTTACATTTCTTCTACTGTAGGAATTCAATGGTCTTTAAAAACCTTTCGAGATCTTATACTTTATGGTCACTGGACCCTATAAATAGCAAATTCTCTATTCCCTGGCATTTCTGGACTTAGCCAATAAGTGATCACTGACATTCATAATGATGCCCCTGTGGTAATAGACAATGCTGATTTGCTTCCCAAAACATCCCCAAAATATTCATTGAGATTTAGGATGTGTCTAGCACTAATAATATTTTTTGTATACCAAAACTTTAAAAATTGGTGAAGCAGGACTGTTAAGTCCAAATATGTTAAAACCATCTCACAGTAGTGCTGGATATGGGAGGGTGTCTGCCTTCTGTATTTTCACTCTGAAGCTCCCCCATGAAGAATGTTTAATGATTTCAGGTACTTGGGATACAAAGCACTGAGTATAGCAGCAGCTGCAGGTGGGCAAGCACGCCAATGAAAATCAGCATTCAGGGAGGTCTTGGAGGACAGTTATCCTGGTGGGGCAAGATGAGGCTACACATTGCATCTTGGCCCTAGCCTGGGATGGCCCTGTCAATCCTAATGGAGTGGTTTTCAGTCCTGATTGCCCATTAGAACCATCTGGGGAGATGAAACAAGCAGGCCCCACCCTCAATGACAGGGATTTATTTGGCCTGAGCTGGGCCTCAGGCTTGGTTCTTTAAGCTCCACAGGTAATTCTCACATGCAAAGCAGGGCTGAGAACGACAGTGCCAGCCTGTGCTTCACCAACTTTAATATGCACACCAAATAGATTCTGATTCAGAAGGCTGGGGTACGGCCTAAAATTCCACACCTCTCAAGAGATCTTATACATTGCCAATGCTGCTGGCCCATGGGCCACAGTCTGAGCAGGAATCTCATGCAGCCACAGTTATAGAAAGGCAGCTAATTACCCTGCCCTGCTGAAGAGCTGAACAGTAATGCAGTGGTTCTCAAAGCATGGTCTCGAGATAGCAGCAGAGCACCCGAGGACTTGTTGCAAATGCAAAATCTCAGGCCCTACCCCAGACCTACTGAGTCAGAAAAAAGGGGATGGAGCCCAGCAATCTGTTTTAACAAGCCTTCCAGGTGACTGATGCATGCTAACGTTTGAGAAGCACTGATAATAACAGCTAATACTTGTTGAGCTCTCACTATGCGTTAGGTAGTGTGCTAAGAACTCTGCACACAACTGGATTACCATGTCTTCCTAAGGACCCCGTGCATGCATGACAAAGTGGAAGCTTAGAGACAGTAAGTTGCCCGGATTCACACAGACACTAGCTTGGAACCCAGATCATGTGACTCCAGCGTCCAAGTTCTTGGCCCTTGAGAGGTATTGCCAATACCCAGTAGCACCCCATGATTCTCTTCCTGTGGGTACCCCCTCCTACAAAGACGTAATACATTGGGGGGAAAATACCCATGAGTTTCCACTTCACAAAGATTCACCCAGCTGAATGCAGACAGAATGCAAAGCCCTGCTCTGTGCCAGGCAGACACGCTGAATGACAACCATGAACGATATTTACCATATCCTGGCCGAGGGGTGGCAGTGAATCCAGCTCGCTGAGGTCGTCCTGGGCCTGCTGGACAGCGTGCATGCTTGTGTTGATGGTCCCCATGAGGGCCTGCTGGGCCGAGGTCTGCAAAGGCAGATGACCACAAGGCAGTTATAACCTCTCTCCTGGGACTGACACCACCCTCTACATGAAACTCCAGGCTCAAAACAGAGTGGCCCATGGTGTGTCTCAACAACCCCAAGCACCTCCCATTTCAAGCAGGGGGCTGGGAGTAGAGATTGTTATTAATAGAATGCTCAATATGCATGTATGCAATAGAGAGGTTACGATCAGGAGAGTGTGGAGAGCTTAATTAGCTGACAAGAAGACTCAGAAAGAGTCCTTGCAGGGAGGCTACTTTACTCTTTGAGTACTGAGAACAAAAGATCTCATGCATAGGAAACGTATTACACCCCAGAAGTGTGCTTAGTAAGTACGAAAGGATTCCACCTAAACCTACAGTCAACATGCTTCTTCAGAGTCAAATTACTTCTGAGCTTTGAGGCTTTTCAGCTTTTATAAAGTTCTTCCCAAGCAGCACATGATTCCTGAGCAGGCAGACCAGCGGTGGGAAGAAGAAACGATCTGCTCAGGGGAAAGTGTGAATCACTATAGAACAGGGTCTATTTCTAAGACCCGCCGAGGGGTATCCTGGGCTAATTAGCAGCTTGATGCTATTAAGACAGGGAAGCAGGGCTCTACACTCTGTATCACCAGTCACGTGGAGAGGTCACGGTTGCTCTCCAGCCCCTGAGGACACCTGTGATCCTACACAGGGAGTCACAAGACACCCCATTTAAAGAGAGCACTGGGGAGCCAGGCACTGGGACCATGCAGCTGAAGAGCCGTGGCTCAGATGGGAACGGGTGAGAATGTGATGATGCACACAAGCTCTCCCCAGGGCTGGTGTCTCTCCCTGCACATCAGCAGCAGCATACTGACACCCAAGGCCAGTGTGGGGGAAGCCTCACCAGCGGGGGCATGTGCCCTCGGTGCATCTGCCCAACCATGACCTGCTGCTGTGGTGAGGGCATGCTGCCCACGTTGAAGGTCTCGGGCCCGCTGGAGCCTGAGCGCATCACGGCGGGCAGTGCCACAGAGCCGTGCTCCACCTTCCCAGTCCGATTGAACTGCTGCTGCAAGATGGTAGACCTGCAGGGGACAGGGGTTGGTCACTGCGGGGTGGCCACTCACATACAGTGTAATGATAAGATACCACAGGTGTTACAGTTGTTTGCTGCGTTATGCTGTGGAGGCCAATTCAAAAGAGGCATAAACAGAACAGTGAATGAAGTAGCACTAAAATACTCAGAAGAACCCTGAGATGAATCTTTTTTTTTTTTAAGATTTTATTTATTTGACAGAGAGAGACACAGCGAGAGAGGGAACACAAGCAGGTAGAGTGGGAGAGGGAGAAGCAGGCTTCCTGTGGAGCGGGGAGCCCGATGCGGGGCTCGATCCCAGGACCCTGGGACCATGATCTGGGCCGAAGGCAGACGCTTAACGACTGAGCCACCCAGGTGCCCCGAGATGAATCTTTTTATAGTTATTAAGATAAATAACCATTCCCAGTTGGTTCATGATATTACACAATTAGCTTTGCTTAAGGACACCCCCCCGCCCCCATCACCACCATTGTTATGTTTCTGTAACAATGATGTTCCAGGTGTAAGTAAAAGTTTTGGAAACATTGATCTATTAGCTGGTAAATTCCACCTGAAATAGCATTCATTCAACAAATATCTACTGTGGGCCAGGTTCTATTCTAGGCAGTGGGGACAGAGGTCATTTAGCCTTGGACTGAAAGGAGAAGTGTAGAAAGGAACTAAAAGAGAATCTCCCACAGCTTAGCTCTCTTCCCCCAGGTCCAAGGCCACTGACCACAGAGGGCACTTAAACACCTCTGGAGCCTTGGTGATTGGACAGACTTTGGCACCTCCTCCAGATGATTAAAAAAAAAAAAAAACCTAGGAAGATTCCTAGGACATCTAGTAAAAAAAAATATCAAATTTTTACTTCTGATATATTCTTAGAATGAGTGGTAAGGACTTTGAGCATATGAAGGTGGACTATCTGGCAGGAGCCCAGAGGACAGACCCCATACAGGGAGAGTCTGGGGGAGAGAGACAGGTGTAGGGGTGTGGGTGTGGGGGTGTGTGTGTGTGTGTGTGTGTGTGTGTGTGTGTGTGTGTGTAGAGAGACAGGTGTAGGGGGGTGTGTGTGTGTGTGCAGAGAGACAGGTGTAGGGGGGTGTGTGTGTGTGTGGAGAGAGACAGGTGTAGGGTGTGTGTGTGTGTGTGTGTGTGTGTAGATTTGGTGAGCAGCTGCATTAAGGGACCAGGCCTCTGTCCCAGGGTTCTCCAACCACCACAGATCATTCCCTACTGCCCAGGGCAAAGCTCATGAGCCATGCCAGGATACCAGACAGCGGGCATCTACGGAGGAACAGTAATAATGTCTGTGAGGGGTTGGCACTAGGAAGGGTGGATGTGGGGGCTCCAGGAGGAAGTCAGCTGCATCCTGTGATCTCAGCCGATGTCTAAAGCAGGGAGAAGTGGCAGGTCTTGTGATGGGAACCAACCTGGACCATTCTTCCTGCTTGCCTTGATCAGACCCCACCATGATGCCCCAGGCAGTGGGAAGGGGCAGGGGCTTCAGTGGTAAAAGGCAGTAAAGAGCTTCAGTGCTCTGGGCTCAGACACTTATTCAACTGCTCTTAGAAGGACAAGTGCAGCCGAGTCCTCTGAGGGGAACAATTCACCCCTGCCAGAAAGCACTAGCTTACTGATTTCCAGCTAATGGTCATTAATTATTCCAAGGACTTAAGGTGCTCTTCAAGAGGGTACCACGCACGTGAAACGCATCACACCATCAGGTTTGGTTCCAAATTGTGTACTAAAATAGGGGACAAATGGAAAAGCACCTTCAAGGTGATTATGAAGCAAATCAGGACAAAGTGATAGAGTATGGAAATGTTCCAGAAGCAATTACTATGACTTAGCAAGTTCAATACGCTTGAATCTGCTAGAACTTTCTGGCAGTGTACTATAAGAAACATCACAAGATATGAACTGACTCCTGGCTCTGCCTCATGTGTGCATCTGAAGTGACTTTCAGAGCTTTGGTTTCCTCAGTCACGAACAGGCGGTAACATCTGGTCTACCCCTTACATCGGGGGTTGTTATTGGGGTGAAATGAGACAGCATGCTAGACATACACAGTCAAATGTAGGCAAGAAACTTATTATCACAATGTTCTACATAACATAAGGGAAGCAGCTGCTCAGATTTTTCCAAAGTACCACCTATTAGATGTTAATTTAAAAATTTTAAAATCTCAGTTTCCTTACCTATAAAATGGGGTTAATTTGAGACTGTTCTGAATTGAAAATGATGATGAAAATGTTAAGAACAGTAAATATTTATGATGTGCCAGGCATTGCTTTATGTGCTTTATTAAAAATTCAATCATCAAAATAAAGCATATAGGTGGTACTATCATTATTCTCATTTTATAGTTGAGATGAAGGGGCAGAGGAAATGTGCAATAACTCCAAGGCCACACACTAAAAAAGAGACCCAAGGGGTGCCTGGGTGGTTCAGTCGGTTAAGCATCTGGCTCTTGATTTCAGCTCAGGTCATGATCTCAGGGTTGTGAGAACGAGCCCCGCCGTCGGGTTCTGCGCTGGGTGTGGAGCTTGCTTGAGATTCTCTCCCTTTTCTTCTGCAACTCCCCCCACCCCCCACTCTCTTAAAATAAATAAATAAATAAAAAGAGACAGACTCGAGATCTGAACCCAGCAAGTCTGGATCTGGAGTCCATGTTTTAACCACTTCCCTCTACTGCCTCATGACACATGTTCTATAAACAATAACTCCTCCACTGTCACAGAATTGAACAGAAACCCACTCTCCAGCCTTTGATGAAAATGACACACATTAGGAAATTTAAATGAGCAACTGCAGAACAGGATTCATGAATACTCAGTGTGTCTAAAGATGGAGTTACATTTTGTTCTGTGTCTCCCTGAAATCCACAGCCTCTTACCCCCACAAGAATACACTCAACCCTGATAATGATGGTCTGGAAATCATCTTTCGAGAAGCAAGACTCATTTATATAATGCACTGCTGTCTCCCCTTCTGACGGACTTCAGGGCAACAGACCCCAGAGTAGGCACAAGGAAACCTGCCCATTTAGTGAGAAGGCGGGTTCTCCGGGGCTCTTAAAAATACTTACTTTTTCGGGGAAACGGACTCTTCCAGCATAGTCGACTCCTCATCCCCCTCTAATCCAAATCTGTCTTTACTTTGTTTCTGAGGTAAAACGAAACAAAAAGGAAACTCAGCAGGTCTTGATGCAAGAACCTGTTAAGATACCTTTTAAAAGGAGCTACAGAAGCAAAAATGTTGAGGTTTACTCAAAATTCTTTGTATTGGAGTAGGTGATGGGTGAACAAAAACAAAAGTAACAGTATAAAATAAATACATGGTTTAACACAATATGGAAATATGCCTTCTGTGTTTATTACTGCATCGACTGAATTTCATACAGTTAAAATCAAGACACAGATACTGATGTTCTAGTTGAACTTGGTTATTTCAGTGGGCTGTATCTTGAAGTCTTTGGCAGGCTGTATACCACTATGGTATATAACCACACTAAATTTGGTAGGAATTTGGTAAAACTTCATGAAATTTGGTAATTTGGTAAAAATTCATGAGGAACACCTGGGTGGCTCAGTCAGCTGACCATGTGACTCTTGATCTCAGCTCAGGTCTTGGTCTTGGGGTCATGAGTTTAGGCCCCAGAGTAGGCTCCACACTGGGCATGGAGCCTACTTTAAAAAAAATTCATGAAAAATATGGAGCGTTTTCAGACCCTCAACCTAGGTTTCTAAAGAGGTTGGAAAGCATAACAGAACTATCTAGAGAGAACTATCTACAGAGGAATGGTTAGCTAGTCTCATTCATTAGCTAAGTGAAGCACTATTGCTCATTACCTGGCAGGAATAATATAAATATGAACTGCAGCTAAAATGAAATTCTTGTAGGATCTTGAGGTTAAAGACTGCACACTCAAGCAATCTTAATGTTAAGATTAAATTAGTGAATCAAGTACTTCAAATTATGGTGGTTTTGTGTTGTTGTTGTTGTTTTTTTTCCAGGTAGCAGCATCATCTAAGTCAGTGTTTTAAAAAAGGCAGCTTTTCCAATTTGCGTCAGTATGAAATACCTTTTTGAGGATGATGTCAATGTAGCCTGCAATCAGCTGGGATATCTGCTCTCCTTCAGTGGTTTGGACTGAATAGTAGCTTTCCTGATACTCCCCAAAATCCTGAAAAAACAGCATTAGAAGAAATATAACTACATCACGTATCTACAATTTTAAAGGTAAAGAGGCCTAGTCCTGGAACAAAACGGCATAGACTCACTTTTCCCTTCTCTTCCCCTTTAAACACAATTGAATACCCTAAAATTTAGTAAAAGGGCTCTGAAAGCTGGAAAGGTAGATTGACTATGGAGCACAGTACTTGAGAAAACACACTCTGGTGAATTCTTGGGTTTTCCTTTATATCCGATTACTCCCAGGTGGGTGCCTGAGACCCAGAATCTCCAAAAGGCAGGATTTCAAAAGCCTGTCCTTTTTTGCCAAAGGACCAGGAGAGGAGAAGCCCAATGGAGATCTATCTCGGAGCCTCAAACCACCTCCACAACCTGGACTGGTGCTCACCACCAGTACCTGCAGAGCAATGAAAGCCCAGGCCATCCCAGCCCTGGCTCCACAACCCAGACAGGCCGGTGGTCTTGTTCTTTTGCAACAGTGGTCACGTGAAGCCTATGTCTTCCTGACCTCCACCCAATGGCATAAACAAAGACAGGCCTGGTAGCTTCTGCCTATCCCAAAAAGGTCAATAGCAGGTGGTCAAGGGAATGCCTTCACAAACAGCACCATCAAGTTTGGAGTGAGAACCCTGGCAGTGTCAAAACAATCCAGAACAGCACTGAAAAGCCCACAAAAGGAGACCAGAAAGCTACACTAAATCTAAACAAGATGACTGTCTGATAAAACAGAAGATTTAAGTAAGAGCAAGAGTCTCCTAACTAAATAACCATAATGTCTAGATACAATTTTAAAAAGTCACTACTCATACCAAGAGCCAAACAACTATGATATGAATAAGAAAAGATAATCAATTGATGCCAATACTGAAATGAATCAGATATTGGAATTACCTGATAAAGATTTTAAAGCGGCCATCATAAAATGTTTCATCAATTACAAATTCTCCCAAAACAAATAGGTTTCAACAGAGAAATAAGTCAGAAGAAGGAAGCATACACCAACTATAACAAGGAAAAATGTAACAACCAAAATTTTAAAAGCTCACATGATAAAGTAGTGTGAAGATGACAGAGCACAAAATCAGTAGACTTGAAAACAGATTAACAGAATTTAGTCAATCTCAACAGTTGAAAGAACACAGACTCAACAAAAGACAAAAAACAAACAAAAAACCCATAAACCAGACCTTCAGGGATCTTTGGGACAATAAAAGATGCAATATTCGTATCATCAGAATCCCACAGTGGGAGAAAGTGGGACAAAAAAAAGTATTCAAGGAGCACCTGGGTGGCTCAGTCAGTTAAGTGTCCAACTCTTGATTTCAGCTCAGGTCATGGTCTTGGGTTTGTGAGCTCTAGCCCTATGCCGGGCTCTGTACTCAGTGGGGAGTCTGTTTGAGATTCTCTCTCTTCCCTTCACCCCCTGCCCTTCCCCCCCCCACCCGCTCACAAGCTCTCTCAAATAAATACATCTTAAAAAAAAAAAAAAGTATTCAAAGAAATAATGGCTGAAAATATCCCAGATTAAAGACATACACCTACAAACTCAAGAAGCTGAGCATTATCCAAATACAATGAATCCTGAGAAATCCACATCAAGAACTTTAGAAAGTGACATACTGTCTACAAATGAGCACTAACTTTAACGACAATTTCTAATCTGAAACCATGGAGGCCAGAAAGAAGCGGTACATTTCTCAAGTGCTAAAAGAAAGAACTGTCAGTGACTAATCCTATATCTGGCAAAATGATTCTTTATGAATGAAGGGGAAATAAGGACATACTCAGAAGAAGGAAAGCTAAGAGAATCATTTTTAGCAGAGCTACCTATAAAGAATGGCTAAAGGAAGCTCTTCAAACACAAAGAAAGTGGTAACAGGAGGCTGGGAAGGTTAAAAATAAAACAACAGTGGGATAGATAAAAAAATAGAAGGAAATATAGTAACTTATCCTTCACCTCATGAGTTTTACTTAATCATATTTTATGGTTACAGCAAAAGTTGTAATACCATCTCACATGGTGTTCAATGTACATGTAAGAGCAAGAGTCTCCTAAATAACCATAATGTCTAGATACAATTTTAAAAAGTCTCAATAAATTGTTCTTCAAACAATTATTTTCAAAAACTGGGGAGTGTAAAGAGTCCTAAATAGAAGTTTCTAAGCTTCTCTTGAAGTGGTAAACATCCACACCTGTGTGTTATAATTAAATTCTTATATATCTGGTAATATCTAGATCACTAAGAATACTGAGCAAAGAGATATGCTCAAAAACATTATAAATAAATCAAAATGGAACTCTAAAAGGTAACCCAAAAGAAGGCCAGAAAAAAAGAGGAAAAAGAAATGGAGGGGAAAAAACAGAAAAATATTATAAAATGGTAGACTTAAGCCCTAACATACCAAGGTTAAGATATAAATGGTCTAAATAGGCCAATTAAAAGAGACTGACCAAGTAAATTTTTAAGAAAGCACAACCCGACTTTATGTACTCTGTAAGAAACTTGTCTCAAATATAATATAGGTAGGTTGAAAGTAAAAGGATGGAGAAAAATATATCATGCAAACATTAATTTGAAAAATCATGAGTGGCTTTACTAAGATTAAGATTTCAGAGCAAACAAATTTACGAGGAACAAAACAACTAAATGGTAAAACAACTTCTCCATGAAGATGACAGAGGGATCTTAAATGTATATGTAAACACCAAACACAGCTTCAGAATACATGCAGTAAAAACTGAAAGGAAAAACAGAAAAATCCACAACTGTTGTTGAGATAGAGATGACTGGAACAACATCAACTAACAGGATCTAACTGACATTTCCCTAACACCCTTGTTAAGTACTCATCAAACATTCTCCTAGAATGACCATATCCTGTGATATAAACCACATCTTAAAATTCTAAGACTTGAAATTATGCAGAGTATATCCTTCAACCATAACAGAACTGAACTAAAAATGAATAATAGGAAGACAATAGGAGAATCTCCAAACACTTGGAAATTAAATTCAGGCTCAGAGTGGAAAGAAATAAGACATGTTACAAACTTTAATAAACATCGATATTCATTCTCTCTTGTGCTTGAGGTAGTTACTGTGACTCATAACTATTTCTTGTTTATCTTTAAAATAACTTTTTGTTTTCAACAAAACGGGACTTGGACCTAGTTTTCAAAGACCAAGAGCACTAAAAGGTACATAAAAAAACACAGCAGGCCCCTGCCCTAGCCATCTTTACTTTCCATCCCTTCTACCCCCAAAGGCAACTACTTTGAACCCTTTCAGTTTCTTCTAGTATTTCTAAATAACACGTTTATATTGATTTGCTTTTTCTCTTTTACAAGTTGTCCACAACTTCCTACCATGGAAGAGAAGAACACAGTTCTCTAAGTATGAACACCCCTTCTTAAGGGCCATGCAGGTAGAGCTCTTACCGACTTCACATACAAAAGTATGTGAAGAAGGTATATTTCCTGATGATTCCTTCCCACTGGCAAGAGTCTATCCACCAATGATCAAACTAGATAACTAAATACTCCCTCCAAAACCCCTTCCTTATACCTTTTTTCTGATGCCCTATTATGAGACCTTACCTAGGTACAAGCTGAAATTTCAAGTATTCACTAGACCTGGAGAATAGTACACTTCAGGAGTGTTAGGAGATGGATAACTTTCAGCATTGATTTCTCTTCTTGCTCAACTTGCCCTACAAAATAGCAACGCTATCAATTCTTATGTGTCAATGCGGCTATAGTTAAGATAATAACACAATTATAATCTGCTAAGAGCAACTATTAAGGTTGGGAGGAAGAATTCAGAGGTCTGAAGGCCTGGGATGACTACATTCTCCCTACTTTCCATGTACTTCACACTGAGAATTTTATCATCATCATCTTGTCTGATCTTAGCACCTCTGTGAAATAGGTCTTATGATTCCCATGTTAAAGCTAATGACATGAAGGCTCAGAGAGGAGAGAGAACTCTCTCAGAAGTGGGAGATGACCAGCTGGTTCTGAATACTACCCTAAAGTCTATGCCATTTCCTCTGTATAGTATGCTGTTTCTAGGTGGGCTGGGATAACACACTTGAGCAAGATATCACAATGCTTAGGAACTTCTAAAACAACCAGAGATGAAGAGGGAGGATTTGATAAGCGTCTGAGCATTAGCAAGTTTCCTTCTAGGGCATGCTAGGGACAGCATCAGGAACATAGAAGACTGGACCAGTCCCCGCCTTCTGTGGACTCCCACTATCTGCACACTGCTCTCTAAGGCCAGGGAAACCCATCGGGCTTGTATTCTCTCCCCCACCGCACAGTATTGCCCAAGGCCATGCTGGTCCTCCCCACTGCCAGTCCGTACCAGGGTGAAGCTTTTGGGTGAGGCTGCCCAGCGCTTAACCGTGGTAAGTGGCCACTCCTGCAGCACTTCCTTGGTCTTCTCATCCACACGCATCACTGAGTCCTTGGTGATGCCCAGCAGGCGAGGCACCAGCTTGTTCTTGCCTTTCATCTTTTCCTAAAACATGAAATACCGAGGGTTAGTGCTCTTCTTCTGAATACATCTGATTTTGCCAAGTCATCAGAGATCTCATGATGTCTTACCTGAGGTCATCTACATAAACTATGTTTCAGAATAGGTAGGACTACTGGAAAACCAGGGTTTTGGGACTAGGTGAATGATTCACTAAACTAAAGACATGGAAGCTAAAACAGGGACATCAGAAGACTGGAAAGATCCACAAAGTCACGATTCCTGAAAAGAGACGCTGTTTAGGAGGGCACGTTGCTCCCAAAATGGACTGTGATCCAGAGAAATAGAAATTAAGGTGAATTCCAAATATTATCACTTCCAGTAGCCAACTCAGTGAATAACAAAAAAAGTTTAATGTGCGAATTTAAATACGGCACGTTAACTATTTAGAATTAACTAAAACTCTGCCAAAGTAGAATCTTCTCAATAAAAGAGACACAGACCTTTTTTTTTAAATCTCCCAAATATATTTCCATTTGAATTGTTTTGGTATTTTTATGTATATCTACGGACTCTGAAAAAGCCTTTTATGATTAGCTTTAATAATAGTAATCATTCCTATTAAAATAATGGATCCCTACCTCACACTCATGCCAAAACAAATTTGAGAATAATTTACAAAGAATTTATAGGTGGATATTTTTGTGATTCCTGGGAGGGAAATGACTTTTAAGCACAAACACCAAAATAAAGAAAATTTATAAAGGGAAAGATCAACATCTTTAACTACAAATATATAGACTTTAATACATCCGAAAAACAGAGGGAAAAGAGGAGAAAAAGGAAGAAACCTCACTGCAAACAAAATTAAAAAGCAAATGACTAGGGATAAATACTTAAAACAATTATGATAGTGAAAGACTTTATATACTGTATGTGTGGAAGTTTATCATAGATTGACAAAAGTAACTGGCAAAGAACACAAACAGAAAATGTGTTTACAATAATGAAGTAGACTTCCACTTGAGGGGGAGCAAGGGGAAGGTGGCAGTGGAGTAGGAGGACCCTAGGCTTGCCTCATCCCACAAATAGAAGGAGATAACTTTTATCTATCAGATCATCATAAATACCCCCAAAATTCACTTGAAGACTGGCAGAACAAACTCCACAACTAAAGGTAGAGAAGAGGCCACAAAAAAGTAAGGTAGGAGGTGTGGAGATGCAGGTTGGGAGAGAAACAGATGATGGTCACTGTGCTAGTGAGGGAGGGGTGACTGCGGAGAAGGGTTAGAGACAGACTAGCACATAGGGGACCACATGGGGAAAAAGAATTCCCAGAGCAATTGCCTTGGAAAGAGAAAGGGGCCAAATTTCATGAGTTCTTGCAACCAGTGGAGCTTAAAGCCTGGAGCTTTAAAGGTCAATGGGAGTGGATGGAAGAGTCTCAAGGGCACTGGGGCTGATCTTGGAGGGAAGGCATGGCAAAAAGGACATGGACATACAGCATGGAAATAGCTGGGGTACACAGTGGGGAAGTTAGCTGCTCATCTCAGAGCACATCCCAGAGAGGCAGTGTTCATAAAGAGACCCCTGTGGAAACAAAAGAGCTGGCTGATGTTTCCCCCCTCCCTTCCCTCCCGATGACGCTCAGCATAAGCACAGAGCCACCTGTGGGAACAGTGCAACATCAACACTTGCTACCTAGCTTGCTTACAGCAAGCCCAGCTCCCTCCCCCCATACGCCCCACACATTGGTGAAACCACCTTTCCTAGTAACACTTGCTTCGGACCCAGCACAGTAGGTCCCTTGCCCCCAGAAGGCAGATGCAAACCCCTGACCATACCACATCTCCCAACCTGGGAGTTTTGCAGGGCTGTGGTTCTGGTGGTGGTGGTGACAGGTGTCATTTTTAAAAAAATTTTTTTAAAGATCTTATTTGACAGAGAGAGAGACACAGCGAGAGAGGGAACACAAGCAGGGGGAGTGGGGGAGGGAGAAGCAAGCCTCCCGCGGAGCAGGGAGCCCGACGTGGGGCTTGATCCCAGGACCCTGGGATCACAACCTGAGCTGAAGGCAGACGCTTAACGACTGAACCACCCAGGCGCCCCGACAGGTGTCATTTAACAAACAAATTAGAGCACGCCTAATTAAAACATGCCCCACTCACGTGAAGGACCAAACACTGCCCACAACCGGCAGGCAGCCTCTACAGACTACTGGCCTGTAGGATAAAGTGGCCAGGACCCAACAGCAGAGTGCACACAGCACACAATGGAGACACTCTTGGAAGCACCAGGCCCTAGGGCACAGAGGACACTATAATGCGGAGCACTACAGGACCTCTCTTCTTCATAAGGCCATTACCCTCAAGCATAGGACACACAGCTGACATTCCTAACACACAGAAACAGGCACAGAGACAGATAAAATGAAAAGACAGAACAATTTGTCCCAAATGAAAGAACAGGACAAGGCCATAGCCAGGGAATTTAAAGCAATGAGCATAAAGATACTCAGTGGACATGAGAAGAGAGTGGACAATATCAGTAAGATCATTAACACAGAGATGAAGAATAATATAGCAGAGATCAAGGGCTCAATAAACAAAATGAGAATAAGCTTGATGGAATGAATAGCAGGCTGGAAGAAGCAGAGGAATGAATTAATGATTTAGAAGACAGTAATGGAAAGTAATTGAACTGAACAAAAGAGAGGAAAAATAATTATGCAAAATGAGAAAAGACTTAGGGAACTCAGTGACTCCATCAAACATAACAACATTCATATTACAGGAGTCCCAGAAAAACAGAAAAGAGTGCAGAGAATTTATTTGAAGAAATAATAGCTGAAAACTTCCCTACTCTTGGGGGAAGGAAACAGATACACAGACCCAGGAGGAACAGAGAACCCCCAACAAAATCAACAAAAGTATATCCACACCAAGACATATTATAATTAAAATGGCAAAATACAGTGATAAAGAAAAAAATATTAAAAGCAGCAAGACAAAAGAAGAGGGTTACATACAAAGGAAACCTGCAGATTTTTCAGCAGAAACTTTCCAAGCCAGAAAGGAGTGACATGATATATTCGAAGTGCTGAATGGAAAAAACCTACAGTCAAGAAAGCTCTATCCAGCAAGACTATCATTCAGAATAGAAGGAGAATAAAGAGCTTCACAGACCCACAAAAAATAAAGGAGTTCATGATCACTAAATTAGCCCTGTAAGAAATATTAAAAAGGATTCTTTGAGTGGAAATGGAAGACCAAAAATGACAGTATGAAGGCAGGAAACACAAAAGCATTAAAAATGAGTATTTCTGTAAAAACCAGTAAAGGAACTTACAAAATAAAAGTATGTGAAGTAGGACACCATATACCTAAAACGTGGGAAGGAAAAGAGTAAAGAATGGGTTCAAACTTAAATGACCATTAATTTAATATGGACCGCTATATGCAGAAGAGGTTTTATACAAACCTAATGGTAACCACAAATCAAAAACCACTAATAAATATGCAAAGAATAAAGAGAAAGAAATTCAAATGTATCACCAAAGAAAAGAAAACCGGCGAAGAATTAAAGATAAGAAAGAATCAGAGAAAATCTTCAGAAACAACCCAAACACAAGTGATAAAATGGCAATAAATACAAACCTGTTAAGAATTACTTTGAATGAAAATGGACTAAATGCTCCAATCAAAAGACATGGGGTGACAGAATGGATAAAAACACAAGAGACATCTATATGCTGCCTACAAGAGACTACTTTTAGACCTCAAGACACTTGCAGATTGAAAGAGAGGATGAAGAATCATTTACCATGCAAATGGATGTCAAAGGAAAGCCAGAGTACTAATACTTATATCAGAAAAAATAGACCTTAAAACAAAGGTTGTTAAAAGAGACAAAGAAGGAGACTGCATAATAATATAGGGAACAATCCAACAAGAAGATCTAACAATTAGGGGCGCCTGGGTGGCTCGGTCGTTAAGCATCTGCCTTCGGCTCAGGTCATGATCCCAGGGTTCTTGGATCAAGCCCCACGTCGGGCTCCCTGCTCAGCGGGAAGCCTGCTTCTCCCTCCCCTACTCTCCCTGTTTGTGTTCCTGCTCTTGCTATCTTTCTCTCTGTCAAATAAATAATAGAATCTTTAAAAAAAAGATAGAACAATTATAAATATTTATTCAACCAACACAGGAGCACCCAAATACATAAAACAGTTAATAACAAACATAAAGGAACTAATTGATAATAAGAGTAGGAGACTTTAACACCCCATTTACATCAATGGACACAGCACCTAAACAGAAAATCACTAAGGAAACAATGGCTTTGAATGACCACTGGGCCAGATGTATTTAACAGATAAATTCACAATATTCCATCCTAAAACAGCAGAATACACATTCTTTTCAAGGGCACATGGAACATTCTCCAGAATAGGTCACATATTTGGCCACAGAACAAGTCTCAACAAGTTCAAGAAGATCGAAGTCAAACCATGCATCTTTTCTGACCACAATGCTGTGAAACTTAAAGTCAACCACAAGAAAAACTCTGGAAAGGCCACAAATACAGGGAGATTAAAGAACATACTAGTAAACAATGAATAGATCAGCCAGGAAATTAAAGAAGACATAAAAATGTACATGGAAGCAAATGAAAATGAAAATACAATGGTTCAAAATCTCCGGTATGCAGCAAAAGTGGTTCTAAGAGGGAAGCATACAGGCGTATCTTAAGAAGCAAGAAAAGTCTCAAACAGCCTCACCCTTACACCTGAAGGAGCTAGAAAAAGAAAAAGAAACAAACCCTAAAACCAGCAGAAGGAAGGAAATAATAAAGATTAAAGCAGAAATAAATGATATAGAAACAAAAAACAGAACAAATCAATGAAACTGGGGGCTGGTTCTTTGAAAAAAAAATCAATAAAATTGATAAACCACCAGCCCAGATTTATCAAGAAAAATGGAGAAAGGACCTAAATAAATAAAATCACAAATGAGAACGGAGAAATAACAACCAATGCCACAGAAATACAA